ACCCTTCCCCCCATTACAGACGGGACACCATTACAGACTTCAGCAACCGCGCACAAAAGGCTTCAGATTCTATACGGTATTCTAATGCATTCATAATTATTTGAAAAAAAATGTATTTTTCAGTTTACAAATAATGTATTAGAATAAAAAATTGGAAGGATATACGTGAGTTCCACATTTCAGCTCCAAAGGAGCTGCGCTGACAAGCTTTTTGCTTTATATTCACTTCTTCAGATGTTTTCTTACAAAGAAACATGTGGGTGTGGGTGTGGGTGTGCATACATGTGAAGAACCAACTTCTACACCCACACTCGGGACTCGAACCACGTACCCTCTGCTATCCGGGCAGATGTCCCAAGCCAGTTAGACTAGAAAAGACATGTCATCTTTGTCTTATTTACACTGGAAAAAATGGTATGAATCCTAAACCAATGAGAGTTTCGTGGGCTACAAAAGGTTTCATACTTGCTACGAAACTAAAAAATAGTTTCGTACATAGTACGAAACCTAAAAAAGGTTTTGATTTTTTAAATGAATTCTAAACCTTTTTTGGGTTTCGTAGGAGATCTAGGGTACCTATAAAAAAAGATTCCTAGACCTCTGAAAATCATTTTGAAGGTGGCTTAGGTTCATACGAAATCTTTTTAAAGGTTTCGATTTTTGAAACAAAATGGTTCGGTACGGCACCTTTCTTTCCAGTGTACAGAGGGGAACACTCTGTACATAATAGATGAATAAGTTTTTATTGTATTTGAGAGAAACTGAATGAGATTTATATAGTTTTAATAGAGATATAATAGATTTTGAATAAGTTTGTGAAAATTGAATGAGTTTAGACTATATTTGAGAAAAAGAAGCAAAAAAATTAGATGAATAAATAAGATATTTTGGATAAATAAATGAATAAATAAGAAAGTTTGTTTTTCGTTTTTTAGATATGAAATTAGTAAAGAAAAAATGTGCACTCTTTTTTAAGAATACTTATATGAAAAAGAAATGTTGAACTTGAATTTAGAGTTTAAGAAAAAATAAGTAAATAAATAAATGAAATAAGAAATGCTTTTTGAAAAAGAGAAAGAAAAAACTAAACTTTTTCAGCGTTAATAAAAAAATTGAATTTTGGCTATTTTTAGGTTGGAAAGAATCTTTTTTACAATCTACGAGAGCAAACTTGTTTTTTGAATAATTTTGAATGTAATTTTTATTTAACTTTAACAATAAATAAATAAATAATAATAAATTTTGTAATAAGCAGCAGCGACGCGTTTCGAATATTCTTCAGACTATGAATGACTATCTATTCTTTCGTTCCATTTCTTCTATCTTTGCTCTCATATCTTATCCTCTACACTCATCCAATTGGGAATATTTTCTATTCTATAGGGGCCACTATTCTCATTGGAGAGGTAGATGTCCTACTATTGCTTCTATTTTTTCTTTTTCTTAGTATATTTTAACTGAATGAAAATTCTCAATGATGTGGGTGCGGGAACGGGAATTTCTCAATGGGACACTCACAACTCAATCTCAATGATATGGGTGCGGGAAAGAGACTTTCTCAATGGGACGCTCACAACTCAATCTCAATGATGTGGGTGCCGAAAAGGGAATTTCTCAATTGGACACTCATAACTCAACCTCAATGATGTGGGTGCGGGAAAGCGACTTTCTCAATGGGACACTCAACCCTATCACAATAAAAATTACACACAATTATATACAAAATATTAGATACAAAACGAAAAACAAAAATCAAAAGTAATAATAAATCAAAAACAATGAAATAAAGTATAAAAAACAACAAAATCATAAAACAGAAAGAACAAAACGAAGAACTAAAAACAAAATCGACCGGGTCCTTCGTTGTTGTTATTATCGTCGATGTTATAGTCAAATCTATAATAGAAAACGAAAAAGGGAAAGGGGAACTATCTACTGTCTTAGTCTATCCTTACTCTAATTCTCTTACTAGGGCCTTAATTGCTTCTTTGGGAGATTTCTTATGAACTAGTATACTCTTTAAATTATCTGTCAACTTATGGGCAAAAACTACTAGGATATCGCTAAATGGGGTTTCCTCAAAAATTTCCTTTCAAATTTGATGAAATCTAGATCCAAAGCGGGCCAAGCTAGGAGTATACGTGGCGTGGACCATAATATCTTTATTAAAGTTAATCCCGGGTTTATCTTTTTTATTCCATTCTATATCTAAGACCTTATCCCTATATTCACTATGTCTCTCGCTTAGAAGTAATTTTTGACCCTTCTCTCCCGTTAAAGTTTCAAAAAATCTCCGAAAATGTTTATCTGTAGAATTGGGGGAGGAAGTACTTATCCAAGAGAAAGGTGATTCTAACTATTTCTATCTCTTCTTCTAAATTATCTCTATGGGAACATATTCTTACCGCTCTCAAAAGTGCTGACAAGGGAATATTCTTCATCACGTGGGGAGGGTGTGCTGAGTTAAAGGATAATATATAAGGCTGAGCGGCTAACTATCTATAGACTTTGGTTCTAAAGTTGGGAACTTCTACTTGTACTCTAACATCTAAATAATCTACGTGTGGACCTGTCTCAAAAGTTAAATCTATATTTTTATCCTTCTTACCTAACTCTACTAATATCTTATCCATCGCAACCTTACTTTTCGTAGTGGTTACAAAAATATCATCTCTAAATCTAAAATATACCCCTCCCTCGCTATTCTATTGGTTCTTAAACTATCTCTCCCATCTTCTCATATAGACATCGGCTAAGACTTGGATACATTCTGATCGCATGGGTCCCCATCTAATCTGTTTATAATACTTAACTTTTTCTCCGAGTAACTGAAGCGCAAAATAGGCATTTTCTAAGACATGTCTAAACAAGGTCCTAACCGTATTAATGGGTATCTCTCCATTGATCTTATTTATCTTATTCTCATCTAACATCTCATAAACGGCTAAGATTGATTCTTGTTGGGATATCATTGTATATAAATCCGTAATGTCAAAGATATATAAAAGTGTCTGGTCTGTCGTCCCATGATTTTTCAAATGTTTCAAAAATTCTATACTATCTGTCAAACGATACGAAGTTAATTTATCAAATATGGAATGAATAATTTGGTCAAGAGAAGCCGAGATTTTTGGTGTTGGTGATTTCATTCCCGAAACAATTGATCTAAGTGGTTTTCCTACATTATGATCTTTTGGATAATAATAAAGATGGGGTAACTCAACATCTATTGGGTTTGGTTTAAATTTCTCAAAATATTTTCCGGGTAATAATTTTCTATTTACTAAACTTTTCAATAATTCTTCTGTCTTTTCTATCATACTATCTAATGGGGATTCTTCTATCCCTTGGTACACATCTGTCTTTTTCATGTAAGCTATGGAC